TGTGTGTGTGTGGTAGAAGTATCGGTTTTTGTACTCGGTATCGGCAAGTACTCAGATCCAAGTATCGGTATGAAAAAATTGGTATCGTTGCATCCCTACAATATAGTAAAATATATTTTAAAACCTACAAACAAACAAAGGATACACGGGAATATCTGAAACATATTAATAACAACTGAAACTTTTTAACCTTTAAATATTTACCCTGAGACTTTAACACTGCGACTACCCAAATTCATGTGTTTTTCTTTCATTCGTACTTCTAGCAAGCTCTCATGATGACCATAGTGAACCTGGCACAGAACTTTGTGGGCAGCAACAACGTGAACATCCTGCAGCCGCTGGGTCAGTTCGGTACTCGCATCAACGGAGGAAAAGATGCAGCCAGTCCTCGTTACATCTTCACCATGCTCAGGTACAAATGAGTCCTGCATGTCTTTTAATTCAAATGTATTTTTCTAAAAAGGTTTCTCATCTGACACCTTCACACAGACTAAACATTTTTGGATTCCACGGCAAAATTTTCATAAATGTTGTCCAATTTCCCACAGTCCTCTCGCCAAGCTGTTGTTTCCAGCAGTGGATTCCAACCTACTCAAGTTTCTGTATGATGATAACCAGAAGGTGGAGCCAGAATGGTACATTCCCATTATTCCAATGGTGCTAGTGAATGGTGCCGAGGGCATCGGGACAGGCTGGGCCTGCAAGATTCCCAACTATGACCCCCGAGAGATCGTCAACAATATAAACAGGATGCTCAACCATCAGGACCCACTGCCAATGGTAAACATTGTGAAAAAATAAAAGCACGCCAAGTACGGAGACAGATGAAAGTATATTTTAATGATGAAACTGCTGGTTCAGATTAGCACATCATCTATATATCAAACATGTTTCCATATGTGCAGAGTTTAAAATGCCTCGTGGAATCTGGAGACGGCTCCAGCTGATTTGTACTTGTCAATTTCTTTATATCACAAATCTTGGTAAAAGAAATTGACAAGTAGATAAGTCATAGTGTAAATGCTGTAATCGCTCGACCTCTTAACTGTTTACCTACACAGTGAAACGTCAATATCTTAACTGATTGTAGTGGTTGAAGGCAGGTCGAAAGCAGCTTGATGTTTCTAGTTTCCTGTCAGCCTCCCAAACATGATCACAGGATCCACAGGCACGTGCAGAAAGTGCCACAGAGTACACCCCCAGCTTCTTCACGGTTGTCAGCGGGGCACACACACATGCTCGTTCTGTGTGTAGAGGGCGACCGTGGTTCAGGGGGTTGGGAAGCTCATCTGTAACAGGGACATCCCCCAGCTCTCTCTGTCCTGGTCGTTGTGTCCTTGGGCCAGACACTTTACCT